GTGTGTGTGCATGTGTGTGTGCGCTCTCCAGGCTCTGGTTCTGTACGACTTCACAGCGGAGCCAGGAAACAACGAGCTGTCGGTGAGAGAGGGGGAGACCATCACTGTGACAGACCAGGTAAACACAGGTGTTTACACTGCACACACTGCAAAGGAAACACGGCTCCACCCCCTCACGTGTCCCTGTTCTTCAGACTGTGGGTGGAGGCTGGATCCAGGCCCAGAACTCCAGCGGACAAACCGGCCTTGTACCTGAGGGATATTTACAGGTGAGCGCTGTGACATTATTTCATGTCGTGTCAACACAAAGAGGCACAGATCAGCGAATTTCACCTTCATCAGTGTCACACACTCTGTCCAACACTTACCTTTGAGTTTAGTTTTTATTATTATTTGACTGTTTGTTTGAATTCAGCTCAGTTTCAGTGAGATTCCAGAACAGAGGCCAGAAAATCAGTATTTCAGTGAAAACAAGCAGCTGACTCACAGGCTGATAGACGTCCAAACATCAATAAATACGTCCATCAGGGCTTCATCGGGCAAACTGCAATCATTTATTTTACCAAACCGACAGAGACTAAAACCGAGGATATTTCATCTTTATTTGATTTCAAGTTCACAAAGGCACAAACACTTCACAGAGATACTGAAAATCACAGCACAGAGTGATAAACCCACCATGGAGACCACTGGACCACACAGTGTAACCTCTGCAGGGCTCTAGAATAACTTTTTGCCACGGTTGCACTGGTGTGCCTGACTTTTTTTCTTAGGCGCACCAGCACAAAAGTTAGGCGCACCCAAATTTTTCAACCGCATCACTTAACACCGCAGTTTTACATGTGCACTTTTTTGGGGGCGGAAATTGCTGTCCATACAGACAATATTGATTTGTAAACAATTAACTAACAATCTTGTCAACACAAAGTTCTTTATTTGGAGCACAGTTCTACCAGAAAGATAAGTTATTGAAAAAGTGCTTGTGCTTGAAGTGCTTCGGCACTCTTTGGTAATATTGTAGGCAATGTTAAACCTAATCATCACATCGGCTCCTCTGACGACCTGTTTGCTGCTGCCTGCTGCTGAAAGGCAGTGGGGAGAGGGGACACTTGGGCAGTGCATTTATTGCAGCATATAATGTGTTTTCTGGATACACTGTGTGCTTTTTCAGTGTTCAAAGATTGATGGCTCCATTTCAGAGCACTGGCTATGAATTTCAGACGGATCAGGCCTTAACAAAACATGTATCAATAGTTCTTTTCATCTTTTCTTATTCAATTCAATTCAGTTTTATTTATATAGCACCAAATCACAACAACAGTCGCCTCAAGGCGCTTTATATTGTACAGTAGATCGTACAATTATAGATACAGAGAAAAACCCAACAATCATATGAGCAAGCACTTTGGCGACAGTGGGAAGGAAAAACTCCCTTTTAACAGGAAGAAACCTCCGGCAGAACCAGGCTCAGGGAGGGGCGGGGCCCTGCTGCGACCGGTTGGGGTGAGAGAAGGATGCTGTGGAAGAGAGACAGAGGTTAATAACAGATATGATTCAGTGCAGAGAGGTCTGTTAATACATAGTGAGTGAGAAAGGTGACTGGAAAGGAAAAACTCAATGCATCATGGGAATCCCCGGCAGCCTACGTCTATTGCAGCATAACTAAGGGAGGATTCAGGGTCACCTGGTCCAGCCCTAACTATATGCTTTAGCAAAAAGGAAAGTTTGAATCTTGAAAGTAGAGATAGTGTCTGTCTCCTGAATCCAAACTGGAAGCTGGTTCCACAGAAGAGGGGCCTGAAAACTGAAGGCTCTGCCTCCCATTCTACTTTTAAATACTCTAGGAACAACAAGTAGGCCTGCAGAGCGAGAGCCAAGTGCTGTAATAGGGTGATATGGTACTACAAGGTCATTAAGATAGTAAGAATCTGGTTAGATACCATATTTCTAAGATCAGTATTGAACAGCAGAAATTAAGCTTTCTTGTCCAAGGTCATTTAAGTTCAAAAAAAAAAAAAGAGTGGCCGACAGCGCTGTAAACAACGGTAGACTGGTGGGCAATAAGCGAATGAATAATGCAGAAAGGAGAGACTTTTAGATGGGAAACTGTACTTAAAGTACAGACAGAGAGAGAGAGCTGTGCATGAAGTGTGACTTTATCGTAACAGCAAACGTAAGAGGGAATTAATGACGACATTTATCAAATGTGAAGCATAGTTTGGATCTTCTTTTGCTGCTGGTTCAGCGAATTTTGGTTAGAGAGAGACAAAACCTGCACCTCAGAATCTAGCTCAAAAAAGATGTAAACACAAAGCACGGACCCGCCGACACATCAGAGTCAGTGAGCTGTCGGCTTTCAGCTCCAGAATACATTTATATTTCAATCAGGATTTAATTAATCGATACCGCTTTATTCAAGCTACTCACCTCTCTGTCCGTCTGCACTTTCAAACCCCTGACTATCTCTGATTGGTTCAGACCACGATAGGGGCATAATGCGTGTCTGTTGTTGACCACACGGAGATCTTCAGAGTTGCCGAGGCTTTTTTTTGTTCGTACTCGAACAGTTGGTCAAACTGGTGTGACCCAAGATTTTTTTTAGTCGCACAATTGAAAAATTTGGTTGCATTTGCGACCATATTGGTAGCACCCTGCTCTGATGGCTACAGTAAAGTCTGTATCGTCTGCAGGAACATCTGTTTGTTAAAGATGTTGTCATGTTTCAGATCAGAAACACTGGTGGTGTTGGAGGAGGCGGCGACCTGAGCTCGGGGGGCGGGGCTTTTGTCAGTCACACACAGGGATGGGACAGTCGAGGATACAATCCCACACAGCACGGTAACATACGCTTGTTTTCAGCTCATTTTCAAGTATAGTGTGTTACTGTGAGGAAAAAGGTTTTACATCAGGAATGTCGAGCAGTGTCCCTATCAGCTGTTCAGGATGATGACGGCGAGTGGGACGACGAATGGGATGACCAGTCGGTGAGCAGTTACCATGACAACAACCAACCGGAAGGGGAGGCCGGAGCCTCAGGACGAAGCGCCCATGGACCCAGTGTTAAGATCTCCCTCAATAAGTACATATGTTTCTGAAATATGCTAATATAACAGACGACTCACAGTAGAGCTAAAAGTAGAGTCCAGTAGATGTCGGTCCATAGAGCAAAGTAAACACTGGTAGGAGTCATTAGATGTCAGTCACAGTGGTTAGCAGTTGGTAGATTCCTGTAGAAGACAGTAGAGCTTACTAAACATCAGTTGAGTTCAGTAGATGTCAGTAGATGTCAGTAGTGATGGTAAACCCTAGTAGATTTCAGTGGAAGGGAGTGAATGTTGGTAGTTGTTAGATATTATTAAAAATTAATGGAAGCAGATGTCAGTGGAAGTTGGCAGAATTTGGTAGATGTCAGTAGAAATCAGTAGAAATGAGTAGATGTCAGTATAATTCGGTAGATGTCAGTAGAAATCAGTAGAAACGAGTAGAAGACAGTAATGCCTTCTTGTCTTTAGGTTCTCGTTCTCCAAAGGTCCGAGTCCAGAAGTCTTTATGTTAGCCCGACCGCCGGCTGACAGCAGAGAGAGGCTTCCTGTCTACGTGAGTCCAACATTTTTCTCTTGGTTAATGATGTGTGGTGTTGATTGCTCTGATTGGCTCTTGGTCCTCGTCCGATCAGATGGGAGAAGTAGGTCCCGTCTGGCTGTACCCGACGTCTCCTCTGGACTGTGTGATTGCTGATCCAAAGAAAGAGTCCAAAATGTACGGACTGAAGAGCTTCATCGAGTACCAGATAACACCCAATGTGAGCTTAGTAGCACTTTTTTTTAAAACTTGCTTTTGGTTGATTTTTATTTTTAGGTTTTAGCTTCTGTGAAGCACTTTGTGATTTTTATCATGAAAGGTGCTATATAAATAAAATTTTACTTACTTACTTTACTTACTCTGTAGTACTTAGTAGTACTTGCAGTATCACTGGGTATCAATCTCTGACTCCTCCCTCTTCCTCCAGACAACCAACAGCCCTGTCAATCATCGCTACAAGCACTTTGATTGGCTGTATGAGCGTCTGCTGGAGAAGTTTGGGTCCATACTGCCCATCCCCTCACTGCCTGACAAACAGGTGACAGGTGAGCCATCGCCATAGCTACCCTGTATGACCCAGCAAACACCTTTGACCTTACCAGTCTCACCCGTGCTTGTAGGCAGGTTTGATGATGACTTCATTAGGATGAGGATGGAGGGTCTGCAGGCCTGGATGACTCGGATGTGTCGGCACCCCATCGTCTCTCAGAGTGAAGTCTTTCAGCTCTTCCTCACCCACAGAGATGAGAAGGTAGGTGAAGCTCCACCTCCTGCTTTACATCTTTCAGGTAACCTGAGAACCTGCTGTCTAAGCCTCTGGGATGTACTTTTTGTTTACTCACAAACAAATGAAAGACTACAAACACAAACCAGAAGGCTTCAGGTACAGAACAGACCCCACCCATAGGTTATAAATGTTTGTATGGTCTTTTATGGAGATTATGTTTGAGCCAGTCAGGTGTGATGATATCTGATGCTGCTTGCTGATTGGCTAAGGCTGTTTGTTGTTGTTTCAGGAGTGGAAGGCGGGGAAGAGGAAGGCAGAGAAAGACGAGACGGTGGGTCCAATGATGTTCAGTTTGGTTGAACCTGAAGCTGCAGAGCTCGATGTCATCCAGGTGTAAGTCACTCAGTCTGCTTGTAAAGGCCTATACCCTGGGTTTGGTCTGTCAGGCTACCTCTGATTGGTTCGCTCATTAGGGTCGTCTAACTTGTGTCTGTCAAATGTCACATGACCAGTCATCAGGCGTCTATCCCTTTTTTAGCTGTAGCTCACTGGGAGTGCCACAGGGCGGTGTACTGGGCCCATTACTGTTCCTTATTATAAATGTACTTTCACTGTTCTTCCATCAAACAGCAGCTCAGTTTCACATGTTTTTACCTGTGGCTTTTTACTTTTGTGTGACCTCTGAGTGTGTGTGCAGTGAACAGAGGTGTGAACACTACAGCCGCTTTACAAAGTCCATGGATGACGGCGTCAGAGAGCTGCTGAACGTCGGGCACGCGCACTGGAAACGCTGCACCGGACGTCAGTGCATACATTTAAAGTTATTCCGTGTACATGTACACAGAATACTTACAGCTGTGATTGGGTGGTAATGTATTCATCTGTTTTTAACCAGCGCTTCCTAAAGAGTATGAGCGCATCGGCCAAGCCTTCAGAAACCTGTCAACTGTATTCATCACCAGCAAATATCCAGGTGAGCGAGGGAGGAGTGTGGGGGTGGAGGGTGGAGGAGGGAGGATGGAAGATAGAAGGATGGAAGGAGGGAGGAGGGTAGGATAGAAGGAGGGAGGAGGGTAGGATAGAAGGAGGGAGGATGGAAGGAGGGAGGAGGGTAGGATAGAAGGAGGGAGGATGGAAGGAGGCAGGAGGGGAGGATGGAAGGAGGATGAAAGGAGGGAGGGAGGAAGGAAGGAGGGAGGATAGAGGGATAGGAAGAAGAGTGGAAGGATGGAGGAAGCATGGAAGGAAGGAGGAAGGAACGAGTGAGGAAGGATGAAAGGAAGGAGGATGGAAGGATAGAAGTAGGTAGGAATGAAGGATTGACGGTGGAAGGACTGAGGAAGGATAGAAAGATAGAAAGAGGGAGGATGGAAGTATAGAAGAAAGGAGGGAGGAAGAGAGGAAGGATGAAAGGAAGGAGGATGGAAGGATAGAAGTAGGTAGGAAAGAAGGAGGGAGGGTGGAAGGACTGAGGAAGGATGGAAAGATAGAAAGAGGGAGGATGGAAGTATAGAAGAAAGGAGGGAGGAAGAGAGGAAGGATGGAAGGAGGGTGGATGGAAGGAGGGAGGGTGGATGGAAGGAGGGAGGAAGGATGGAAGGAGGGAGGAAGGATGGAAAGATAATCACAATGCAGGGACTCCAGCAACACTTAAACAGGAACAACTTTATTGACTGACCAACGGTTTTGTTTACATTCTCGGAGGACTTGAAGCTCTCCCGCGGTGCATTCAGGGACTCTGAGCTCAGTGTGTTCTTTCTGAACCATTTTCCTTAAAGCTGGTTTCCATTGTGAAATACGTAAATATCCAGTAAACATCTATTATGTGGTATAAGTACAGACTTTTAAGTGTCTGCGATGCAGGCGAGGCGACGTTGACTGACGCTCTGACGGCTGCTGGAAAAACCTACGAGGAGATTGCTGAGGTCGTCGCCCAGCAGGTAAAAACACACACACCTATGTATAAATACACAGTATACTGTGTTTTCTCAGTCTTACAATACTATTTGTTTATTCTCTTACTGCATTCTTTGTTGTGTTTATGTTTCCAGCCTCAGAAGGACCTCCACTTCCTGTTGGAGACTAACAGCGAGTACAAAGGGTTGCTGGCATGTTTTCCAGACATCATCGCTGTACACAAGGTACAGCAGAACTACTGTGTGTAGTGACTATACTACACACAGTACTGCTACACATAACTGCAGGTGCACACAGAGAATGTCTGAAAACATGAGACAATAAAACAGACTGAAGCTGGAAACTGAGGCTTTTATTTTGGAGGTTTTTATTCAATCGCTGTCAGAGCAACATTAATTGGGGAATGGGAGGGGCTCCAGATGTGCTGAGGAGGGCGTGGTCTCACCTGTGTGTGTGTGTTTGTGTTTCAGGCTGCTGCAGATAAAGTGAAGGAAGGTGATCGTTTGGTTTCTGCAGGAAAAATGAACAACAGCGACAGGAAGTGCATGAACCAGCGGCTCAGCTGCATGAGCTACGCCCTGCAGGGTAACAGCACACACAGACACACACACACACCACCCAAAAATCACAGCAAACCCAAAGGTCAAAGTAATCTCTTTGATAAAGTTATCAGCCCCTGGTGAAATTTAAAGCTGTCATGCTTTTAGCAGAGCGATGGATTTTCTGCGCAGTGTTTCTGAACATGCTTGTTTTATTTAAAAAGCATAAATCTGTTTACAAACAATGACAGAATAATTTCAGAGAGACAAACATGACCACAGTCAGTTTGTCCTCCTGAAGAACTGAGCTTGTCATTGACTCACAGCTTGGACCTGCTATGCAATGACCTGTGTTCACTCTGTAACACTCAAAGATGTTAAATTAAGACCAAACCAAGGAATTTCTCCAGTTTACAGTTGGTATAAACACATCTGTGAGGGTTTGATCTGAGAAAGCAGCGTCCCAAATCCAAAGACACTTTATAAATCACTTCAGACCTGAGGAGAAGAGTGAAAGTTATCACAGTGTCTCCAAGTGTGGACAACAGGAGTGAGGAGAAACTCAGAGAGAACCACGACGATCCTGCTGAGGAACATGCTGCGGGAGACCAGAATGGGCGTTACCACCACCCACTCAGAGCCCCAACTTTAATCTTTGGCCTGAGCCGAAGACCAAGATCCCCATCAGGACACATCACATCTGGAGGAGCTTCAGAAGAAGGAGAAGGGGCCGCGGTCACTCAGGAGACAGAGACACACAGCTGACCTTTAGCAAATCCATGATCATTCAGGGACTTCATGCAACCCTTCAAAATAAAACTGTCTTGCTCTGTCTGACAGCAGAGTAGACGGTCACATGTACAAACCCTGTGAGGGTGTTTCCTGCTCAGCTCGTCTCGTCAGACACTCAGCTTTAGTCACCTGCTGCCTTTTCATGATGTCATCGCGTTACCTCATCACCGGCCATAGTTTCAGCTGTTTCTGTTTCACATGTAAAAAAAAAAAAAGGTAAATGTCATTTGTATAGTGCTTTATTCAGTCCCTAAGGACCCCAAAGCGCTTTACACTACATTCAGTCATCCACCTATCCACACACAGGTGATGGCAGCTACATTGTAGCCACAGCTGCCCTGGGGCGCACTGACAGAGGCGAGGCTGCCGGACACAGGCGCCACCGGGCCCTCTGACCACCACCAGTAGGCAAACATAGGGTTAGTATCTTGCCCAAGGATATTTGACATGCAGCCAGGAGGCAGCCTGGGATTGAACCACCGACCTTCTGATTAGTGGCTGACCTGCTCTGCCACCTGAGCTGCAGCCACCACCTACATACCACATGTGTATGAAGAGATGATAATGTTGGGTTCATGTCAATCCCACCAAAATAAAAATCCAAGAACGACTGATCTAAGAACTAAATAATAAAGTAAATAAAATTATACCACAATAGTATAAAGTTAATGTTTGTATGTGTAATAAATAAAAAAATGTCCAAGGGTAACTCGCCGCTGTCTGCTCTCCTCTAGCTGAGATGAACCATTTCCATAGCAACCGTATCTACGACTACAACCGAGTGATGCAGCTTTACCTGGAGCAGCAGGTCACCTTCTACCAGCAGGTGAGCGCCAGGCGGGAGGCGGGGTGGGCGGAGTCTGGTTGCGTGTTTAGGTCTGTGATGTCGTCTCCTATCTGCTCTCTGATTGGTCAGATCGCAGATAAGCTGAGAGAAGCTCTGAGCCAGTTCACCACGCTGTGAGGACGCCGCCGCCACCATGTGATGTCACATGTGACATCACAGCCTGAGTCACTGTTAACAAAATAAAAGCCTCATAATCTTTATAGTGTAAATGTTGATATGATAATGATTAATGATGAGTTTCCTTCTTTTTCTGCTTTATTTAAAAACTTTTTAACAGTTGATTTTACACGTTTAATAAAACTTTCTACGCCTCCACCTGGCTCTACCTCGTCTTTATTGATATTATCAGTAGAAATTATTTTACTGTGACAGTGCAGAAAACTTGTTTAAATGTGTGCGGGATAAGCTGCTCAGTTTCCATCGAAACTGTAAAACAGGGAAGGTTTTTTTCAGCTGCAGATCTGTTCAGACTGAACATCATGATTATTGACCCTGACTCAGGAAGCTGCAGGAACACTGGCTATATCTCAGTTCAGGGTCTGCAGCCTTAGAGTACGCAGCCTTAACAGTCCACAAGGGCCGCGTACTCAAAGACCGCTAAGGCCAGAAGTGCGAGGCTTGTAAAATTGGAAGTTATTTATATTTCCTATCACCTTATACCTTCACTCAAAGGCCAGTATCTGTGACAGTGTATATATAGATGTATTATATATGAGAGACAAATATTGTTCTTTTAATATGTTGGCATTACTAAATTTGGCTCAATGCTTACATACATGTGTATGCCTCTGTCAGTGCGCCCCAGGGCAGCTGTGGCTACAATGTAGCTGCCATCGCCAGTGTGTGAATGGGTGGATGACTGAATGTAGTGTGAAGCGCTTTGGGGTCCTTAGGGACTAGAAAAGCGCTATACAAATGCAGGCCATTTACCATTTTATGTGTAAAAAGAAAATGTACGAGCTGTGATAACTGTGTCTGATAGAATGAAGAGTAGACTGATATATGAAATATTCCTTTATTGGGTGAGAAAATCAGACCATGTCATAACTGCTTTAAGTCATACAGAATAGATATCAGAGCCTTAAACAGGCTGACTTCTGCTTAAAGTTCCCGGAGGTACTTGATTCAGTCCACAGGATCGGACAACGACGTGAGTCCTCTTCTGTGCCATTGCCCAGTGCCATAATCTTGCAATTTACCATGAGACACTTTCGAGTCATCACCTGAAAGGCGGTGAAGGGATCTGACTACCTGAAGACAAGGAAGCTCCATTTCGAAGAAGATCTCTCTCCTGAGAACCGAGAGAGATGCAACCACTTATGGCCACAGGTGGAGAAAGCACATAAGGAGGGGGAAATTGTCTACTTCGTCGGAGCCCGTGCTTTCGTGAACAGAAAAGAAATTCACTGAAATCCCTTTCAGTCCTGTTTGCGGATGTGCCTCAAGGTCTCTTTTCCTTATTGTTCTAAAGACTTATAATAAGCTGTTGTTGCTAAAAACGTTTTTGAAGCACTTTTTTAGACAGAGTAGTTCTGTTCTCTCTGAAGCTTACACACTCTTCTCAGGGTAAAAAGTTAATTTACTTTTCAAAATTTCATCTCTATCCTTTAATTCTTTAAATGCTCGAGGACTAAGAGACAATACCAAAAGGAAGGCTCTGTTTTTATATGCTAAACGTTTGAATACTGACTTTTGTCTCATACAAGGACGCTAACTTCTGGAAATCCCAATGGGGTGAAGATTTATGGATGTCTCATGGCACCAACCATCCAGCGGGAACTGATTCTGAAACATAAGTTTAAGGGAAAAATATATCTTCAGAAACTGATCCGAAAGAGGACATTTTATTTTGCTGATGATCAGACCCTTTTACTGGGAAACATTTATGGCTACAATAACAAACAGGAGAATACTGACCTAATACTTATAGTAAATGAAAAGAAATCAGTCTTTAATGAGTAAATTTGCTAATCTAAAGATTATATTAGGAGGGGACTGGAATCATTCACTCAATACCATGATAGGTAGATGGCCGAGTAAAAGTCAGGAAAGTAGCAATTATATGATGGATTTTATAAAGGAAAGAGACCTAATTGATAACTGGAGACTTAAAACTCCAACAATTAAGGAATTTTCATGAAAAAATAGATCAAGTTTCTTACAGTCTCGTATTGATTATTGGTTAATTTCTGATCTTTTATCCAAATATGTTTCTATATTAAAAATGTTGCCAACACCCTTGACAGATCATAAAACTACCGTCTAAAAGAGTGAATTCATATTGAGAGTTAAATAATTCTCTTATACTGAATGATTCTTTGGTAAAGGAAATTAAAACAAAAATAGATGAGTATTGGAAAAGGCATGTGTTGAAAATGCTTTTAGTAAAAATTGGGAGTTCATGAAATTTGAATTGACATCTCTCTTAATGAGAAGAGGAGCTGAAATAGTTAAAAATAGAAAAAAAGAAGAGTTGGAAATAACTTCTGAAATTATGGCTTTGTCAAGATCACCTGATAATTTATCTGAAGATAACAGGAACAGACTTCAAATTTTACATTAAATTAGAAAATATATATATTTAAAAGGCAAAAGGTACCTTTGTGAGAAGGAAATGGGTCTAAGAGGGAGAACAAAAACTCCAGCTATTTTTTCAAATTAGAAAAACATCACAACACACTTGGCACCATGACTAAACTGTGTTCAGATGGGTCATCACACAAGACCCTCAAGTGATTTCCAAGACTTGTGAACTTTTTTATAAAACTTTATATAAATCTATTTTTTCTACAGAAGTCATGAACATTTTTTATGATTCCTTAGGTAATATTAAAACAATTATTGACAATAATAAAACTATGTCTGATGCCCTCATCACAGCAACTTAATAAGAGTCCAGGGAATGACGGGTGTACTTGTGAATTTTACAAATTATTTTTAAAGGACTTCTCACGCTTTTACATAAAGTATATATTGAAAGCATTGCTAATGAAAAAGTCCCTCCTTCCTTGATTCAGGGACTAATTACTTTGATTTCCAAGCCTCAAAAAGACGTCCTTTTGATAGAAATTTGGACCTATTTCACTGCTCAATAATGATCATAAAATAATTGCTATGTCTGGCTAAAAAATTAAAATGTGCACTTAATGATATTATTGATGAAACACAGTCTGGTTTTATGACTGGGCAGACACATAACAAACAACATAATAATTAATATTTTTGGTCATTCAGGTTTAATCACAGATAATAGTTTCATTCTTTTTTTGGATTTTTATAAAGTTTTCAACTCCATTGAACATGAATTCATGTTCAGCGCACTTGATATTTTTGGTTTTGGAAATATGTTTAAAAAATCCATTCAAACTTTATATGCAGATGCAAAAAGCTCAATCAAACTCCCGTATGGTACAACGAAGAGATTTGATATCAACCGTGGGATCCGTCAAGGTTGTCCGATTTCGGCATATCTTTTCCTTCTTCCTATGCAGACTTTCTATTCATTTTAAAAACAGCAGTGTAATGTTGCTGGCAGAACTTTATCTATTACTCAACTAGCGGATGACACAACACTTTTTTAAAAGGATAAATCTCAAATTGGTGAAGCTCTCAAAGTCATCAAAAATTTCTCAATAGTCTCTGGTCTCCAACGCAACATTCCAAAATGTGATCTTTTCACAGTTAAATGCTGCACAGATACTATTACAGTATATCAGGTGTTCCTGTTAAAGATAAGGCTAAATAGCTTGGTATTATCATTCAAAAAGACCAAGATGCTAGATTATCTGAACATTTAGTCCCTCATAACTTCAATATAACAAAGATTTAATCTTTGGCTTCAAAGGGATTTATCCATCAGCGGAAGATCCTTGGTAGCCAAAGTTGAAGGCCTTTCCAGACTTTCCCTTTCCCTGATGTTAAATATGGACTTTTTTTAAGGTACCTGGTTTGTTTTCTCCCTGTAAACACACGGGACTGATCACACCTGTGGTTCAGGTAAATACCTGAGTGATGACATGTTTCTGAGTCTCAGGTGAGTGTGAGGGAGCTCTGCTGCCCTCTAGTGACTGTTCACCGAGAACACATGGGCGGTGATTTATTTAAACTTTATTTAAAAAGTGAGTGCCAGCAGACACTGATAAACATAGTTGTTAACAGGATGTCTCATCAATATCAACATGAATCGTCATTGTTGTGTCCTTGAAGATAAAACAGGAAACCCACAGTTGGATCTCTGTGACCCAGACTTATGTATGTTGATCTTTCTGGTTGTCGTGACTGTATTTCTTCTACGTTTAGTGTTTGTATTTTCTGCTTTTAGGTTTGTTATGTAATCTTTAGGTTTATGTCATCATGTCTGCCATCTTTACTGCCTCCTGTGTTTCTCGTGTTTGATGTTCCCTCTCTGTCTCTCCTGACCAGACTTCATGAGGGTGGTCTGAGGGCCCGACATCCTCTAGTGCAGTGGTGTCAAAAGTAGTCCTTTTGCACCATGACAAGCTGTGACATGCATCAAATGACTGAACTGCCATTCAGCATGCAGGCAAGTTCTATAGCAGGTATGTCCAACTCCAGGTCCCAAGGGTCGGTATCCTGCAGGTTTTAGATGTGTCCTGTTCTTCCAACACAGCTGATTTAAAGGGCTAAATGACCATTTCAACATGTCTTGAAGTAATGAACTAATCACTTAGGTGGTCTATCTAAAACCTGCTGGACACGAGTCCTCGGGGCCTGGAGTTCCCACCCCTGTTCTACAAAGTCTTGCAAATGACCTACTAATTTTATTCAGGTGTGTTGCAGCAGGAACAGGTAAAAGTTTCGAGGGCTGGAGTTTGACCCCTGTGCTCACTGCCCGGCACCATGGAGCCTGACTGGCATTTGCCAAGGAATACCAGAATTATTATAATTTTACTTTACTACAGTCTATTTTAACCTGGTGCTGTGATGCACTGAGGAATGTGAATCTTATGTGTGTGTGAACATAACCCGATTATTAAAGCTTTAGTGTTGTCTGTGCCTTCTGTTTTTCAATTCATTCTTCATGAATTAATCCGATCCTTGTAAAAAGAAAACATGAATATTCTGCTTTCTGCTCTGTAGGTCCTCACCTCTGCTGACCAGGAACACCACAAGGCCTAAGATGTGATCTTCTGGACATGTGATCATGTTAATGTGGTTCAGGTCTTCACACACTGAGA